TCGTCAAATCCATGACGACTCAGGAAAAGAAATCTAATGCGCTACCACTTAGAACGGACTTGAGCCACTGAGCTGGTATAGTGGTGCGGCACTCACGAGACCTGTCGAGATATGTCACAGCAGGCACAGGCCTGTTGCTCATCCCTTTCATATTCAGGTAGATAATTTATTGAGTGGCCCTCGTAACAGGATGGCGCGTACCATGGATTCCATACTTCTTGAAGACAATCTCTCGTCAGACCTATTAAAGATTGTTCAAGGAACTCCAGATAGGCCTGACGTTCCACGTCCCACTGAAATGGTTCATGAAACGCGAAACAGGCCAACAATCGATCTAACGTTACTCTTCCTCAACCAGATGTCGCGAATACCAGGATGCACTATTATAGGACTAATTGGCGCTCAAGAATTTAATTTCTTTTTAAAAAAAAAAAACAAGGTAGGCATCGGCGCGACCTGAAGACAGTCTGTTGGTTAAGCCTAGGCCTAACGTTAGTCTTACGTCAGTTCTGTAGAGAGGCTAATATGAGAAAGGAATTGAAAATTCGTTTTCACATTACTACATTTCAGTAATCATTCCGCTAGGCCCGAAGTTTTTACAATCGATTTGATCCCACCAGACCTTCTCCGGACGAGGCCTTAGGCGAGTCGCTCTTAATTTCGTCGGGATTTTGGGACTCGTTCTGCTGGCCCTGGTCTGGTGGCCCTGAGGCCTCTTCATTATTCACCTTCTTCTTCAACTGAGCATTTTGAGACTTGATCTGTTGGGCCACGTTGGACAGTGCCCTCTCCGCCATGTCTATCCCAACGACGCCGGCATCTTGGAACTCCTTGGCCAAGCGCAGGATATCAGACGACCATCCTAGAACATGAAAATTGCCGTCATACTGTTCAGGTATCATATCGTTAGAACAAGGAGTGCACCTACCTTTCATTCCTCGGATGCAGACAAGAATTGATCGGGAATCCACTCCAAAATCCATTTTTCCCCTATTCAAGCCCTTTTGTACTGCCCGAATCACCTCTCTTGCCCCGTCCATGACTAGACTCACCGCAGAATATACGTCAGAAATTTCAGTATAATTGATTTTGGTATGCCTAAAAACCGTAGGTTACCTTCCCATTCGTATGGGTTTTTCAGGAGTTCGTCATTCAAGAGAAGATGAGGGCAATACCGAACCTCAAAGTACACCACACCCGATTTCCACTTATCTTTGCACAGTTCATATGCCACTTTCTCGATTCTCTTCATGTTTCCTCTGGAACAAACCAAAATAATTTGCTTAAATGCATTTCACAAATTCCATGGTAGAGTGCTGGCAGTTATCGAAAGGCTAAGTAAGCCAAATTAGCGCATCCACGTCTATGGCTAGCGTTTCTTGGCATTTTTTGTCATTATTCGGCTAGTGACCTAAGAAACTAGTGAGTACCAGCCCAGGAGTACCAGGTTAGTACCAGCCCACAGATCTGACATTCCACTGGCTCTGTACCACTGGAATTATTATACTGTATGTATTTTCACCTCATCCAACCCATCCAATAGTGAAATAAATAATAGCTGTCACTGGTTTGGCATAGGCCTATGTAAAAAGGCCTTGCTGGAGAATCAGAGAGTTCCGAATTTTCTTTTACAGGCAGGAATTATGGATGCCATCATAGATCTTTGACACAAAACCTGCCTGGGAGTTCACACATGTCATCATAGATCACATACCAGCAAGAAGACATCTTAGCTACGTCTGCCTCTCGACAGACTCGAAGTACTACGAGTCTTAGCTTAAGGGTTGAGACGGAGCTTTTCTTTATCCATACGAAATGCCATCTTTAACGAAGGTTGGAGCTATAACTTCCGGGCATGAAGCTGCAGCGCATAGAGCTGAACCTCCGTGCACTTTATTCACTAAAAAGGAGCAGTGGCTCCAGTTTAGCTGAGCTCAAGCTCTAGCCAACTTTTATTCATACGGGCCATTGTCTACTATGGATCCGTCAACCGCCAGGGCTGGAAGGGAAGTGGATGTTTTCGTGGAAGACGGGCACCCCGTCCCAGGCGGAAAGCTGCTCCTGCGCCTTGGGTCGTGTTGTCCAGTCGTTATGGTTACTGAGGACAGACGGAATGGAAAAAGGGGGGAAAAGTGAAAAACCAACTGCAATATCTGGCATTTCCCCCTAGTATCTATGGGAATGTCGGATTAAAATCACAATCTCATATGTGCTTGATACAAGTTTAACCTTCGTATTACAAGAGCGTTAATATATATTAACACTTAACGTAAAAAATTCAAAAAATTGGAACTTGATTCTAGAGATGAGCTTGTTGATTTCCTCTTCGAAGTCCTTCATGGTGATTGCTTCATTCTTAATTTTCTCCTTAAGGGAAGATATCTCTTCGACCAGATTCCCATCATCCTTCCTGATATGAATGATATAGGAAAAAATACATCTGATTACACTCTTGCCGGGACTAAGACATAGGAAGGTAGAATTGGTGGAAGTGTCTTACTCGTCTTCTTGAAATATATCACCTTTTATAGCACCCTCCAGACGAACATGCAACTCCACCTATAAAAGCACTTGCCATATGTAACACCGTATGTTTTAGTGACCAATAAACTTTTATGAACATGCGTGGTACAACATAGTGCACGGTCCTACTCGATAATCAGTGAACGTTTCCTGATCATCTGCATGACATTGACACGACTCTTTGTCTTCAGGCAGGGTATGCAATTCATACTAAAGCATACTAAATCTGGCAAGTAAATAGACAAAGTCTCTGTCCGTTTCAATTGCAAAAAAAAGTTCCATCATGATATTAAAAGTAGGTGATGCATCAAAACTTGAAAGAATGTCCAAAAAGATCACGTTCCTAGTTTCTGGCAATTTTATTATTTTGTGTGTCGCATTTCAGTCGATGAATACTCAAATGGTCTAGATTCATGCTCACTGTGTCTGCGCTGGAAAATATCTAGAAGTGGTTTCTGTCATTTGCATGGTAGAAAACTTCTGATCCTTTCCTAACGCTGCTCCAAAGTATTGTTGAAAGCTATGGCTGCCTTCATTTCGACAAGAATCGCGAGGCGTTTTCCATCGGGAGGGAGAGTGAGAAACCTTTCAAACGGAATGATTTGAATGTAATATATGGATACCGATGGGCTGGATGAACCACATTATACAGAGTGATTGAAAAAAAAACTTTCTTTTTAACCCTTTAGTGCATGACGTAGCAGATTTGCTACATACCAAATAAACATTTTAGAATGCGCCTGTAGCTAGCTTCTGAGGTAAATCTGTTCGTAGTAGATGTGTAATAGTCCGGTCCTTATACCTTGCATCTATGCAATCGCTAGGTGCCATATACTCCTGGTGGCAAGGAAATTAAAATCAATCTGGCTTAGTCGTTTGGCAGATTGACGTTTTTTACTTACTTTTTAAACTTGCGCTGATCCAGGGTCCAAGCTCATCAGTATTTTTACATTTTCTTGTTTGGTTTGGTGTTTGGAGGTACGTACGAATGTTGACGGACCGACTGAGCTCTCTAGCATCCATGCCGCGTGGATTAGAAAGCTAAAAATACTGTTAGTAGCAAATAAGCAACAATAACATTTTCGAGCCTACAGCTTACAAATTTGATTTTTTCTTCCTTTTGTCCTCTTGACCTGTGTTCTAGGACGTGAGAGAAACCTACCAGATTTTTTTCTCTGAAAAATAAAAAACATGCATTTTAGGGTTAAATGGACATAATTCACGTTGTAGTGAAGGTAAAGTCATCCTTCAAAAGATGCTTTCATGATAATTTAATACCATTTCATACCTCATTCATTATCTCTGTCAAAATATGGAACTTTCCCAACAGGTGGATAAGCAGACGTAGACCAACAGACTGACCGCGAAAATTCCTGATCTCACTCCCATGGATGTCACTTTTTGATTTTGGTCAAGGAAAATGCTTACGAAGGAAACAAAGAGATATTGACCAGGTGGAGTATTTTATCAGGGATTCAGAAGGTTCCGCAGCAGTTTTTCTTAAGCCCTGTGGATAATGTTGCACTTCGCTCAAGAAAACAGTGAGAAATCCTTGTATTTATGTGGAGCTTTAATCCTTGTGGGATGAAGTGGCATCAAATTGTCTTTAAGTTGCCGTTAGAACGATGTTTTTACCTTTCCTACAACATGAATTACGTCTGTTTAAAAATAGAGAATTATTTTTAAACTACCCTGAATACAACGAAACGTTAACTACTCCGTCTGGAGAAGTTGCAGACATGGTATTCGTCTCCAGCTCGAGTCGACTTAAATTTTTGTCTCCGCAAAGGTGAGGGTGGATCTGCTGCTGCACCTCCTTTCTCATAATACATACTATGAAAAATGCTAATGATGTAGCATCGAAATAAGTAGCGTTTGCTACGCAATGTCCAATCACGTGAACCAAGATTTAAGGACATATTTGAGACGTTCGCGACATTGTTATTGTTTCGAAATCACGCCTAATGGAAGCCGGTAAGCAAAGAGGTACTTAATTAATCTTTAAAATGCCTGGTAAGCTCATGACAAATCAACACAAAGTAATATTGAGCTGAATACCTCAAATTTCAAGGGAGTTTAGTTGTTATTTGAGGAGCTAATTACTGCCAAAGGTGAGCTCAATTGTTCTGCTACATCGGGGACACAAATGTTCAAATATAATAAATTCAAATTTCTGATTTGGTGTTCGGTACTCAAGCTCCTGTTCCTTCTGTTTTGAATACATTCCTAGGAAGAGATCCGTGTCATTTTAAAGCTCCCGTGCAAAGTGTTCATGATGGAACTGATTGGAATCAAATATAAAAGACGAATAGACCGATGAGTATATTATGCTGTGCCAAGGCTATAATATTCTAGTTGCAGTTTTGAATGTTACTATCGAAATAGAAGAAAATACAGTGGAGACAAACAATAAATTGCGGAACCGAATCGAATTTCGTTCCCAGGTATTCAAAGTAAGTAATTCACTGGGATTAATTTCAAAGTCAACACTATATGGCTCCTAGGGAGGCTTGGATATGGAGAAAGAGAAAGAGGCATACCTTTGGTTTTGGCGCTCGCCTAAAGCCAATGCACCAGACGGGGTAGTGATCATCGAAAATTTCTTCGTATTTGTTCATTTCGAATTTTGAGCTGTAGTTGCAGCACAGTCTCCATCGACAGCAGCAGCAGTCCTTCCAGGTCATCCTGGGGAAGCAGCACGTGGATGCAATCCAGTCAATCACAACCGTAGCCTGCATAAGGAAAAATAAATGGTTCGCATGCGTCATCATTAATCCATTGCATGGGTTTGAGCATAGAGACTGCCATGATGGCAGGGATTAAATACTGTATACACCCTTTTTTCCCTTCAATTTGATGAATACATTTCTGCAACTGTTTTCAGTAAATTATAATGTAATGCTATTATTTATTAATGTAATTCACGCGGAATGTTCATGGATAGGTTCTTGTTCAAGAATTTAATTCAGACTCTGTTCAAATACAGGGTCAGTTTAAAGTTTCTCCTATATTCAGACAATTATAATGTGCTAACTATGCATCGTAAAGCTGTAATATTCAGTGTGAACACCAATGGGACCACGGGAAGAGGAATATAGGTTCATGAGGTATGGCCACCAGCATTTACTCAGTAGCAATATTTGCTACATTTGCCTAATGCGACCTCCCTTCATGTCTGCAATAGCTTGCATTTGAGATACGCAATGATAGGTGTCTGGATAAAGCTGTGCAGTATCCAACATGGCCACATGCTGTCGTCGAATAACCATTGCATTCCACGAAGGTGAAGGAAAGGTGTGGATTCACAAGCAACTTTCTTTTTGGGGCACATTTCTTGAGGAGCAAACAGACAGCCGATCTTGGCTGGCGATAGTTACGGCGAACATTATCGATCGATGCTGGAATTTTTCATCGACCCCAAGCTTCAGGACTATGGTGTTTTTCAAGAAGCAATAACGATGCAAGATGGGGCTCTTCACATTGAACGGACAGTAAACGTGCTCTTGCAAACGTATTTTGGTGACCGGATAATCAGCCACCATTTTTCGAACACGTGGCCAAACCGTTCGCCCGACCTAAACCGAGCAGACTTTTGGCTTTTAGGATATCTCCAGACTGTTGCGTATTGGGAGGCACATGCCACCTTGATGGACCTCGAACAAGCTATTCGCCATCATGTGGCCACGTCGGATGCCGAAAAATTTCGGTCAGCCATCTATAATTGCATATCCTGAATGCAAGCAATCACTTGAAGGAAGGTCATATTAAGTATATGTAGCAAATGCAGCTATTTAGCAAATTCTGGTGACCATATCCGATGCCCATATATTTATTCTATCCCATGGTCCCATTAGTGTTGACACCAAGTATTGCAGCTTCATGATGCATAATTTACGTAACTGTCTCACTTGGGAAAAAAACTTTATACTAACCCTGCACCTTTGCAACTTTACGTGTATCGGACGAATGCTAAATATATTTGACTCTATGCACGTGAGTAGCACGACTCTTCTCTGTATGCAATTTAGCTGAAATAATTTTCACTGTGGTTACTTCGCCGTACGTCATTTCACAGCATATACATTTTCGCTGCCTTCCTATTCCTGTAGCACCCTTTTCACGGTGGGTCTTTTTCACGTAGACGCGTGAAAAAGCCCCACCGTTTTCCCCCGCGTTTTCCGTTTTCTGGCGTATCTCATCTCACTCCTCTCCATTCACAAGCCTGCCACAGTATATTCCAAGGTGATCTGGGATGTAACTCACCCAACACTATGTAATTTTCTCAAGTATTTGATTAAGGAGCAGGGACGCCAGGAGGTTCCAGTAGTGCAGGCACTCTCTGCCCTATTCAGCCTCAGAAAAAATACAAGACAGCTGATGATGGCCTCCTGACTTTGGTTGAACAGCGGCCGTCAAGGGATGTCCTTTCACATTTGCGAGGTATCGCATACAATCTTCGGTTCTGAACTTTTTCCGACAATTCCCCAAATTTTTCTATTGACGTTTTTCCTATTATATAGCCATTATTAACCTGCTTTATTTATCTATCCATAATTTCCAGGATGATTTGTGCAGCGAAAGTGGATGCAGTGAAAAGCGTGTCACAGTGAAATGACAAACAGCTAATTGACGCATGCGAATAAATTGTCTACAGTGAAATGTCGACAGTCATTTGTCGGACATAGAAATGACTTGCAATGAAATGGCGTGGAACCATACGCGTGTCACATGAACGGGCCTCTCTGGCCCTTCGGTAGGCTTTAAATCCAAACAAATGATGCAATCGTCACTTGATGAGGTTGGTGCTTACTCCTATACAGTCATTTCATTAAAGCCGGGCTCGGTTATGAGCTTTGCAGAAAAAAATCTGGCTGCCAGCACTTGCACGGGAGACTTAATAAATCGCTCGATTAAGGTAGTAGGGGAGGAAAGATCGACCGTCTGGGATTCGAAATCTGAAAAGTAATTATTGTAGGGGGTCCCTAGAGAAGTGCAATGAGGGGTCGCACAGTCTTCAACCGAAGTCAGTATTCCATCATCAGCTGTCTTGTATTTTTTCTGAGGCTGAATAGGGCAGAGAGTGCCTGCACTACTGGAACCTCCTGGCGTCCCTGCTCCTTAATCAAATACTTGAGAAACTTGGTACATATGTACATTTTGGGATGTAGAGTTAAAAAAATCCGACTTTGGCGGTACATACCCTGGGGGGTACACTTTTTGGGGGGAAAGGTTTTGCTTAAATATATTTCGTGACAGATGATGATGGCATTCAGAGAATGCATTGGATGTGTAGGGCTCGGTGGTGTAGTAATGGCATATCTGACAGGCACTCAAAAGGTCTGGGTTCAAATCCCAGCTAATCCTACGCTTTCTATTGGCTTTTTCTTTGTTTTGCATATCCCGTTACCCATTCCCCCTCCATAATAATGTTTGCTTGAGTAAAACGGAGAGACATAGAAAGCTGAAACTTGGTTTGGAGCCTACCGAGACAATGAGTTCGGGAAAAATGCAACATTTTAGATCCATGACCTGGGGGCATATTTTTGTGAGCTGACTTTTTCAAGTTTTTGTTTTTGTCCTGGCGTATTGAGCTGGTGTGGAAAGATGAAACTTGATACATAACTACCTATTGGAATGCTGCAGATAACTTCAGACTTTGGAAGTGAATGCCCAGGGGGCACAAATTTCAAGGGAGATGTTTAAGTATTTCAATAGGGACGTACTTTAAATTTCCCAGTTCGCAAAAATGTGTTTCTTTGTCTGACGGGTCAACAAACTCGCTATATTGTATATAAAGGATCGCGTGTACCTGACTGATATAAGTCGCATGCAGAGTTGAGGAAAAATTCTACTTTGGTGATACATGCCACAGGGGCACACCTTTTTGGGGAATATACTGTATTTTCAATTAGTTCCCTTTGCTTTAATCAAACAGAGGCACATGAAAAGCTGAAACTTGGCAAGGACGAGTGAGGTCAAATGTCAAACGTCTAATTTCCAAAATATTTTTTGTGTTTATATTTCTTGGGGATGTAACGTTTTCCATTAAGTTTCATATCCTACAGAATCGGGCAGAAAGAGAAAAGTAGCTGCCGCACGCATAACGGACGTGATGTTGATTTAAGGAACAATTAAACTTTTGGTGTGCGTCCCCTCAGAGCACAGCTTTTGGATGGATCGCTTTCCAAATACTTTTTTTTCCGCCAACAAAAAAAGGGAACGTATAAGACTGAAACTGGGTGGCATGGAGTTCCTTGAGTTTACATTTCAGAAGAAATACAATTTTCGTTAAAACCCATTCGGGCACTTTTTTAGTTCCAATTTCCTGAATTTTTTTTTTATCCAACGAAACAAAGGCAGAAAAGTTAAACTCCCCCCAGAAGTACCTGTTTGATTGCTGTGTAAATGAAAAATCTTACATCTGAAATGTCCCCTTTGCGTAGATAATAGGAGGTGAGTTTTTCAAAATGTATTCTCCACTCTTACAAAAAGGGACACATGAAAAGATTTCAAGGTATGCACGCTAAAAATAATAGAAGTAATGATTTTGATTTTAAAAAATGAAGCCTTTCGACCCCATATGTCACGTATTTCAATGGGGACGTACTTACAATACGTATTTCCTATTTCGCAAAAAATTAATTAAATAATTACTAACCAAGGTAATGGAGCGCCGAAGGCGCGTCCATTACCTTGTTTGCCCGAAGGGCAAACAAACTCGCTAGTAACCAATAAAACAAACTCATGAGGACTGACCATGGTGAGATATGTGAATTGGCTTGCAATGGTCACAAATATTTTCCAATAGTTAAGTTTTCCACCCTCTCCATACACGTTCACCCAAAACTTGATCCCAAAAACGTCGAAGAGGGTGCGGAAGGTGTCGTTATTTGCGTCGAAGTTAGCATACCTGAGGTGAAACAGAGCCAAATTCAAGGTAAGAATATATCATTGATGCAACAAATAAGTAGTGAATTGATGTCGGAACTATGGACTGATAATTAAAAAATTAAAGGTTGGTGAGTCATTCCAAATGAACTCAACCATGCTGAGGTTGAGTTGATACAGCCAGTTGATATATTGTATAAATTACAAAAGTCCTGAATCGTTTCTGCAACGTATAAGTAATGAATAAATAATGATATGCCATGTCAATGCAATTTTATTTCGCCACATTTGAGCCACGCTGACGTTTCGAACATTTACACATAGAAGTAACGTCGTTCATCAACATTTCCCATACGTTGCAGCAATATATTGTCTTACTTGGATATATTGAATGTAACAGGGACATGTATTGGCATATCGTATTTGTATGTGTGTTGAATTATTTTTCAGGTGTGCGACGCTCTCATTCATGTATGAAAGATGGTCACCACTGAAATTTATGCAGACTTCAATTACCTCAAGAATCCAGTTAAAAGATGACCTTAATAACTGACAGGAAACCCAAGTAACACAGTATGTTGATGGAATGTTTCCGAATTGTTGCCAACGTTACTTCGTGTTGCATGTTAAAGAAAAACATTGTTGAAGCATGACTTCAACTTCTTGAAAATTCATTTTCGAGTACTCATAAGTTTCCAATACATTTCAACGAATGTTATTACAACTTTTGCTATATGATTGGAAGAAAGTTGACACTGTTGATATTGACAATGTAGCGACAACATTCTAACACAATTTGCACTTGGAAGCTTTAAAAAATTGTGAAGTTGTCCTCCATACACTACTAGATGGAGGCGTGAGTCTCGTTTTTCCACTCTCACTCCACAATCCACGTGGTGGACAATTCCATGAAATGTGCCATATTTAGCAGAGTAAAGGAAGATTAACTCTCAAAAAATGTGTCGTGTCTCCTGTCTATCCCTGATTCAGACACGATATTAAGCATCGGCAGGGTTCTACTGGTACAAGCATCGTCCTGTTCTCACCGTGACTGAGTAAGAAATTAAAGCATAGAGTAACTTGGAGGAATATCGCCATTGGTCCTTCTCAACGAATCCCCTAACAGACCGAATAATTAGATAGAGCGAATTTAAAAAGAAAATAGTTCCATTGAAGAATGCATACCATTGTCGAAATGTTTAGACGCGTTCATTAATCCTGTTCTCACAGGAATTCGGGATACAGCGATGTTTTGAAAGTCTCATGCATGGTCAATATCATTCAAAATTTGCAAAAGCCTTCTTTGATTATTCCGCATGCAATTTGTGAAATATTGGGTCGATCGGATGGAATTTACTATAATTCCTATTTTTTTAAAACCAATTTGCAGTTTTTTTTAGCTTGTACTACGCCCTTTTTCACACATTAAGTTTGAAATGGCATAGAACTAGATTCAAAACGTCAATTTTCTTAAAACTTGGGACTTTCTTTCATTCCTCTTTCTACATGCAGTGTTTAAAAAATTTGAGTTGATCTGATAAAATGTACTGTCCCTAATAGCGAAAATGATGAGGCACATTAAACACCCTGTAGATACAGCCTCCCAATCAAATGCAATGCTATTCAATCCCAGAATCATTGCAATCCTCCTTTCCACAACAGGTTCTTGAGCCAGGTAATAACGTCGACTTCTTTGCTTGTTCTGAATGGAGTTAAGGTGTTTCCTTTTCAACTCCTGAAACTTCTGAATTATATTTCTTGGTACCCAGCATATTCCAGTGTTTCACAAGTATATCAAAAACATTGTGCTGTTTTTTCATAAATGGCCATATTCCCCCAACAATAGGGGTAATAGGGTCTTTTTGGAACCAAGTTGGAACAGGACGCCATATCCATGCAGTTTTCTGCATGTGCCTTTCTGGGATTTGGTGAAAGAGTTAATCAATATTTTAGAAACATTGTAAACGTCAAATTCCACCTCGATGGGCCATTAAGACCAGGTTTCATTTTATGGGGTGATATTCCCCCAAAGTACCCTATTGTACGAAATGACGAATAAAATAATTAAATATTGACAGAATATAAGTCCAGTTCAAGGCCAATGAAACCATTGCTTTTCCGAGCGGTTAATGCCAATATGGGTCCGTAGTAGGTGCCAGCGAATCAACGTTCTCCATCCACGTCGCTGAAATTTAAGTTGAACAGTCCTGAGACTTTACTGCAATATATACCTAATGATCAACAACGGCATGGCAAAGTTCTTCGGCAAAATTTGAACAACGTTGATGTTGACAACATGACACATTCAAGAAACTTCGTTCATCAACATTATTAAAACGTTGCTGGAATATTTTGTGTTACATGGGAAACCTCCTGAAAATATGGTCATCATTTTCAGAAGACTAAAAAACAGATGAGACGAACTGGAAGTTCCAGTAGGGTTCGTTAGTGGAGTTGACTTTTGGTTGATCAAGTCGGTGAAACTCATACTCCGGAAGACAGTCTTTTATGTCGTAGTCCAAGTCGCAGTTCCAGTTTATCCTTATCTCCACGGATCCACCCTGCAACATTATTACACGTCCGTGAAGGAATTCATGTAATGGAAAATTTGTTTGCACGTCAGTCAAGCGATCTCACTCTAGACACCAATTCGTGCCTCCATGATTCAGTAAAATTTAAAATCAGCGAAACGAGTTCCTCACCCCATCGGGAAAGAAATTTCGTTATGGTTGCGCCTTCAGAGCTACATAATCTACATGTATTTTACTCAATTTACCGAATTACCTAACATGAAAGGTGAAGGTGAGAGTGATCTCCTAATGATTGTCGTGGTCTGAAACCTTGCACAAATAATGGAATGTGCCAATTGATTAATTAATTTCAAAGTTTAATTAGTTTATTTTCCTTGCTGATAGTTTTTAGTGCTCTCTCTTGGATCGGACTAAACAGACTCTTGGATCTCAACGATGTCCTTTACAACTGATTGCTAATGGAATTTTTCTTACAGATATTAACACTTTTCCATGAAGGAAAGGTTTCCGAAGTGGACAATGCGTGAAATGGCGCATCTAATATATATAGACGATCGTGACTGACTGACTGACGCAAATTCTAACCATGTTCTAGAAGGGTGAGAAATCTGAAACTTGGTACACATGAACCTTTTGGGATGCAGAGTTCAGAAAAAATCCGACTTTTCGGAGAGACATGGAAAGCTGAAACTTGGCATGGACGTGCCTATCGAGACGATGACTTAAAAAAAAAGCAACATTTCAGATCCATGCCCTGGGGGCATATTTTTGTGAGCCGAAGTTTTTTCTTTGTCCTGGCGTATTGAACTATTGTGGAAAGATTGAACTTGGTGCATAGCTACCTATTGGGATGCTGCCGAAAACTTCAGACTTTAGACGTAAATGCACTGGGGGCACAAATTTCAAAAGGAGATGTTTTCAACTAATTTTTTGCATCGGTTAAACTGATGACATTGAAAGCTGAAACTTTGCATGAATGTGACAACTGAGACTAGAGGTTAAATAAAAATGTTACGATGCATCCTCTGGGGGAATTTCTTTGAGGTTTTCAAAAAGAATTTGTCGTTGCGAATTTAGATATAGACGATCGTGATTGACTGACTGACTCAAGTTAATTCTAACCATGTTCTCGAAAAGTTAGAAATCTGAAACCTGGCACACATTTACCTACTGGGGTGCAGAGTTCAGACTTGGGACTTGGGATCCGACTTGGGAGGTACATATTTTCGGAGGAGAACTTTTTAAAGATATATATTGTGACGGATTAGGATGACATCGAGAAGGTTAACGGATGTTCTAGGTTCGGTGGCGTAGTGGTAGCAAATCAGACTAGCAATGAGGAGGCCCGAGGTCAATTACAGGCCGCTTCTTTGCTCTCTTTTGACTTATCATGCCTTTAAACTCCTGTTACTCATTCCCCCTCCGTATTTTAAAATAGTTCTCTTTGCTTCAATCAAACGGAGACACATGGAAAGCTATAACTTAGCAAGAACTTGACTGCAGACGCACTGAGCTCAGGGAAAATGAGAAATTTCCAAAATATTATTGGAAGGCTTATTTATTGGGGACGAAACGTTTTTAAAGAATTTTTCACATCCTAGTGAATCAGGCAGAAATAGAAATGTATCACCTGGCGCACGCATAACGGACTTGTTGATTTCAGGAAAAATTCAACTTTTGTTGTGCGTCTCCACAGAGCACAGCATTTGGGTGGGTCGCTTTTCCAAATATTTTTTTACCGCCAGCAAAAAGAGGAAACGTTTAAGGCTGAAACTGGGTGGCATGGAGTTCCCTGAGTCTTGATTTCAGAAGAAAAAAATTTTCGTTGAAACCCATAAGAGCACTTTTTTGAAGTCCCACTTGCCTGAAAAAAATTATTTTCATCCAATGAAACTGAGACAGAAAATTTAAACTTCCCTCAAAATTACCTATTTGATGGCTGAATACAGGAAAAATCCTACTTTTGAAATATGTCCCTTAGCATAGATTATAAGAGGGAAATATTTCAAAATATATTCTCTTCTGTTACAAAAAGGGACACATGAAAAGATTTCAAGTTAGGCACACTAGAAATCATAGAAGTAATGGATTTGATAAAAATCAAGACTTTTTTCCCAATTTGTGACGTATTTCAATAGGGCGTACTTTAAATACGTGTCTGCCATTTCGCAAAGAATAAATGAATTAATCGCAATCGAAGGTAATGGAGCCCGAAGGCGCGACCAAGGCGATTATTTCGTAACTTGTGAGTTTGTTCCCCTGAAGGGCAAACAAATTCGCTAGTTAGGAAATATTATTGATTGAAGGCGGCAACCCTTATGTAACCCAGCTGACTCATTTTTTCTCAAAACATGTTGACTTTCTCAATCTTTGACCTTAAACCTAACTATTGAAAAAAAATGAGGTCGCCTAACGGTATTAACTTAACGCACAAAATAAAACCTGACTCAAGAGCAATGTGCATGCCTGGGAAGGTCATTGCACATTTAGCAGACCCAATGGCCTTAGCAAGACATCCCTGCTGTTGCAGATGCCTGCCCGATAAGTGGGTCGTCCCGTTGAGGGTTCCCCTATGACATACGGCATCTCCTATTATTCATCCAATGCGTGTCAATTTGAAATTCGAACTTTATCCTTTTATTTATTGTACTTACTCTTATTGCAAATAAAAATTATCATTGAGGTCTTTATGTCTGTTGGAAATTCGCTACCAACAAAAAGGATCCCGCTGGACATGGATGCGGTCTCTTGTAATAATCGACCGCAACTAACACGTAATTATCTGCGATACTGGTGTACAGTTCTACGTCCAGGTCTCCATTGATTTGACACATCCAGTCGACGCCATTGTCCAATCTCAAATCATGTTTTTACTCTCCAACTTGGCTGCTGATGATTAATGCTTCTACCAGGCTATTTGCACTTCCAAATACGCCCGGAAGATCCCAGCCTACGAGCTTGATCTTAGACCGTCAGAGAAACTCAAGCGGAACCAATTGTGTATCGTCCAATTCTGGTACGGCAGCGAACTCCAAGCGCTGCTTGAGACGTTTTTGGACTCTGCAGAACCAATGCATGCAGAAGGTAGAGTTAAGTTCGGCGATAGAAGCCTGATGATTTGGGACTGGGTGATTATCAAAGGCGTCGACTGGATGTGTCGCATCGATGGAGGCATTGACGTCGAACTATACACCAGTATGGTAGACAATTACGTTTTTCCAATTTTCGATAATTATCAGGTCATCCCATAAGTAATGTCGTTTTTCTGGCATAGCCTTACTTGTGTCTTCTTTATACATGTATCTGCGGACATCCCATGGAATATTTCTATGCTAACTTGTGCAGGGGTTAGTCGTCAATATATGTGCAGGTTTTCACGAGGTAACAGTGCTCCGTTTTTCTAGGACACTAAAGACAAGATGGAGGTGTCAGAAGAACACATTAGGCATATAGTGCTTCATGAATTTAAGAAAGGGAATAACGCGACTGCAACCACGAAAAACATTCGAGATGTTTATGGTGAAGAAGCTCTGAATACGAGGAAATGCCAAAGGTTGTTCCAGAAATTCAGGTCTGGTGACTACAGCTTAACTGATGAAGCACGTTCAAGCCGACCTATTGAGTTTGATGATGAACTGCTGGTGGCTACACATGATGAAGATCCTGCTGTAACTGTTGAAGAACTTGCTCAGAAGCTCAATTCCACCCATTCCACCGTTCACCGCCACTTGCGACGGCTAGGAAAAGTGTCAGTGTGTACTTGGAAAGTGGGTTCCACAAAATTCGACCCGTTCAGGCCTCCGGCGGATAGACAGTCAGACTAACGAAACACGTAGACTATTCTTTTATAGTTAGATCGTACCCCTATCCACGGAATCCATTTTGGGTGTAACAACATTTCAACGACCAAAGAATTCACGCTTGGGATGACTCCCGAAATGGACCATCTGCAGAATGTTTCAAAGGATATATCGCACGAAAATACTGCATGAATCGGGTTCGCTGAATTATGTTTCAGCAGAGGGAATTGAGGCAAGAGTGAGTTATATTAATGTGTTAATGTCAGGGTTACGTTTTACGTGGGCATTCAAGAGCATAGATGTGTTGTGCCCCGTCCAGACCATTATGTCAGCTAGCTGTGCTATTTCCTTCCTAGACATGCACACTGTATGTATGTAGTCATGTTTTGTTAGGTGATTGTATAACTAACTATGTATCTAAGATATATAGCCGATCGTGACTGACCATATTCTAGAAAGATTAGAAATCTGAAACTTGGTACAGATGTACCTTTTGGGATACAGAGTTTAAAAAATCTAACTTTAGAGGTATCTGCCCTGGGGGTACACATTTTATGGGGAAAAGTTTTGCTTAATATTGTCACGGATGAGGATGGCATTAAGAGTGTCAAAATGATGTCCTGGGTTCAGTGGTGTAGTGGTAGCACCTTCTTCCCTCAAACAGAAGGTAATGGTTCAATTCCCCGACATTCCCTGCCTTTATTATGGCTTGTTTTGCCTTCCATGTCCCGTTACTCATTCCCCCTCCATAACCTTATTTTGCTTGAGTAAAACGGTGAGACATGGAAAGCTGAAACCTAACATAGACGTGCATACGGAGACGATGAGTTCAGAAAAAATACAAAATTTTAGATCCATGTTCGGGGGGGATATTTTTTGGGGCCGACGTTTTCAAGTACTTTTTTGTCCTGGCGTATTGAGCTCGTGTGGAAAAATGAAAATTGGTACATAAGTACCTATTGGGAGGCTACATGAAAATTCAGACTTTGGAAGTAAATGCCCTGGGGGCAAAAATTTGAAAGGGAGATGTTTTCTAATAATAACTTGCATTTGTTAAACGGATGAACATTGAAAGCTGAAATTTTGCATGAATGTGACTATAAAGAAAAGGAGTTAAAGAAATTGTTAAGTCTTGATACATCCCATGGTGGAATTTTTTCGTGGGGCGATGTTTTGAAAGAAAAATAAATTGTGGCGAATTGGACAGAAATGGAAAGGAGAAACTTGGCAAACGTATAAGTGACATGATATTATTGAGATGAGGGAGTATTCAGCTTTCATGGTGCATCCACTCCGGGCATAGCTTTTAGGTGGATTGGCTATTCCAGACATGATTTTTCACCAGAAAAAAGGTCAAACATATAATGTAGAAACTTCATGAGCATGTAGTTCACTGAGGATGGATTTCGGTAAAAGAAAAAAAAATGCTACTTTTCTGTTAAAACGGTTCTGGGCACATTTTTTGCAAAAGGCATATTTTCCCTAATTTTCTGATCCAGCAAAACAGAGGGCACATGAAAGTTTAAACTTGGCACTTGGCACTTGAACTAATGGATACCTGAGTAAAGAAAAAATGATTTTTTATTTTATATAGACGATCGTGAGTAGCTGACTGACATAAGTCGGTATTTGAGTGCTGAGTTCAGGAAAAGTTCTACTTGGTGATACATGCCTTTGGGGCACACCTTTTTGGGGATCATAATTTCAAAGAGTTCCCTTTGCTTCAATCAAACGGAGACACATGAAAATCTGAAACTTGGGATGAACGTGACTGCTGACGCACTAAGCGCAGGAAAATTGTGAAAATTCAAAAATATTGGAATTTTTGGGGTTTATTCCTTGGGGACGTAACGTTTTCAAATAATTTTTCATATAATACCGAATCGGGCAGAAATAAAAAAGTAGCTGGCGCACGCATGACGGACATGATGTTGATTGAAGGAAAAATTCAGCTTTTGTTGTGCGTCTCCTCAGAACACAGCTTTTGGGAGGGTCGCATTTCCAAATATATTTTTTACCGCCAGTAAAAAGGGGAAACGCATGAGGATGAAACTGGGTGGCATGGAGTTCCCTGAGTCTTGATTTCAGAAGAAAAAAATTTTCGTTGAAACCCATAAGGGCACTTTTTTGAAGTCCCACTTTCCTGAAAAAATTATTTTCATCCAATGAAACTGAGACAGAAAATTTAAACTTCCCTCAGAAGTACCTGTTTGATGGCTGAGTATAGGAAAAATATATATGAAATATGTCTCCTTAGCGTAGATTATAGGAAGGAAGTATTTCAAAATGTATTCTCCACCCTTACAAATAGGGGCACATGTAAATATTTTTAGTTAGGGACACTAGAAATAATAGAAGTAATGATTTTGTTAAAAATCAAGACTTTCCTCCCTATATGTCACATATTTCAATGGGGACGTACTTCAAATACGTGTTTCCCATTTCGCAAAAAGTGAATGAATTAATCACTAACCAAGATAACGGAGCGCCGAAGATGCGATCATTGCCAGTATGTTTGTCTGAAGAGGAAACAAACTCGCTAGTTGTGTATGTACATGGTAGTAGTGTAGGAGAGTGCCCGTTTTGTTCCACGGACGATCTCATCATGCCCCTCCCCCATTGAATTAAAGAACCACATATTGAGTTTTCCCGAACCTTTAATTTTCGACATTTATGGATTTGCGATTCATAACCCACAAAGACCTCAATGAAAAAAAAAACACTTCAGTCGGTGGTGCAACCATCAATGTACCACTTGACATGGAATGCCTACTTATCATATCCACTAACGTGGCATTTGGTAAAAAAATATTGTGCCTCTCTTAAAAATGGATCAATGGAGATTTCCCTCAGCACAGAGATCATCATCATTTCTTCACAGATGGGATCTAGAAAAGGGAATGAATTCCCAGGCCTCACACTTTCCTTGACTAACCAAATAAAAGATAGAACATTTTTGCAGTTAAATTTCACGACAGTTAAGTGTTTTATCGAATTGGAAGACGGGGATATTGGAAAGTGCTGTTCGATACTTCACAGTAGAATATGAATGAATGAAAGTATACCGAGACGCCAATATCGTTGAAATCGTTGATCCCAGCTTCTTGAAGAATTGTGGCTATTTTGAAGTTAGGGCAAAAGCGGTCTTCCTTCGGGTGAAAGTAACAGGTCCTCAGAACTTCTTCAGTGTAGTTGTCCAAGACATTTCTCCTGCATACAGAAGCAATCAATTAAACATAGAGCATGTGTTGATTTTCCACTCACATTCTATTAATACATACCACAATCGTCATTGGCTTAGGGCAATGGTTACATTAAAATCGGCTATCAGCCCACCGGGCAAAGGTGGTCATCAGCACAGCCGTTCTTGGTAGTGTGCCGTTTTCTTCCTGGCGATGTACCATTTCGCTATGAAAAAATGATATTAGTTGTAGTTCACTTAGTTTCAAGAAGGTGCTCCAATCCCGTCCCTCCTTGTTCCTAGACATCGTACTTGAGTCATATAAGATTCAGAGTGCCTTTGCTATAGTATCAGTGGTTGTATCTTCTGCTCTGTTTTATTGATGATACATTTTGGTTTTAAATTCATGGGCTGACGTGAGATTGAAACAATGGCAAGCAATGGCCGAACAGTGTGGCGAGATATGGAGATGCCGTGCACGATTGCCCCTCCTGATGATGGCGTCCAACATGCATTTCAATTTCGGAGGCCGTCAGAACAAATACTTTGTCGAAATGATACAAAACATTTCAGATAGGTCTAACTTGAAGCATCCTCACAGTCATGTGTAAAACCTCCATAGATTAAATATATTGGACTGATTTTCACCATATGTTGTGGGTTAAAATTATTTTAAAAGGGAATAGGAAGGTTTAGATTTGACCATTGAAAATTGTGCATATTCATACTCATATATTTAAGTAGTTGCATTTAAAATCAGGCAGGGCCAGGTAGGTGATTGTCGTCGATTTCTTTTTTTGAATATATGCTATCCTCGCATGCAAGATACGAAATGTAGTAGCTTATTTCCCGCTGTGTCTGAATAGGGCCATTTCATGCCAGCTGGCCGATGTATGACGCTCGATCACCTCCAAAAAAAGGAAAATGTCAGATTTCAATAATCCTGCATGTAACCCCAAAATGTGAAATATTTTATTTTTCTTTCCTTTGGTGGAGGAGGTATGAATCTTGAAAAATATCGGTTTTAAGGCACAGATGACCCCTCGGGTGAATTTCATAACTCTCAACTACAACAGCTAGAAATGCACGCAATGGCCCATATGAACTGTTTGAAATAGGATAATCCTAGTGTTGCAACGAAAAAAAAACCTTGTTTTCGTTAGAATGATTTTCATTAGATTAAAATTAGGACACTTTGAAAACGTCACATTATACAGCGTGACCTTTTCGAAGTGTTCTAATTTTTTAGAATTCCATTGCTCCAATAATCTTTTTGTGGGAATCAGCATAAAAGTACAGAAATTGCTGTAATAAAAGTCCACCTCTTGTCCGTTTCAAGATATAATAAATATTAAATTCCTTTTATTCCCACATGTCAAAAATGAAAGTCAAATATTTCATTTTCTCGATTTAAGCAAACTTTGATCTCATTTTTTGCGATTTGGGAAACCAGATTTTAAAAAATGTATATGTCATATGAACGAGCAATCCAAAATCTATTTGACGACATGGGTTTCATTGCGTTATAGTGAGGTACTGAAACGATACGAATTTTTCATGTTGGGTGTTTGTGGCCTTGGCTCTGTTCAATATGGCCTCTTATGAATTCAAGTCCAAACGTTCAATTTATATTATATCACTTATTGCATACCATTCTCAGTATTGTTTTTATTTTCTATGAAGTAAGGTTGCCGGGGACTCATGGCAAGTTTGGTCTTTTGAATGCATTAATCAAAGTAGCCGTGATTTGCTCTATTAATGATACAAACTTTGCAAAATACTTCTCCTTCTTCCCCTAAAACTTATGCTCTGAGAGAAATAACTAAAATGTAAGATGATTATTGAGTGTAGTTCTCTCATTCCTTCTTATGCCCAAAAGTAAAGCTCTTTACATTTTAATGTCATACTGAAGCGAATAAGAAAACTAGAAGTACTGCTCAAAATATCAATATATCCTGAAGGAATGCACCTCAAACTTCATATTTCCATGAAGTCAGAAACCCATGCAGGCATGAAAAAAAAAATTTCAGACCTGGCGTCCATTCCAATGGACATTGCATTTACATTGTGTCTATGGCAATTTCTTGAGATTCTCCTGACGTTGCGCTCCATATTACGCAACAATAGCCACAATAACGCATGGCTCACTTTCATCAGAGGCCTTCTTTCACCCATTAGTTGTGTAATCTTCAGTTGTTTAACTAAATTAATTATACATATTATATGGTAAAATATGGTAAATTTATCTAATATATATTGTCGATTGCGACTGACTGACTGACTACCGCTCATTCTAACCATTTTCTAGAAAGGTTAAAAATCTGAAACTTGGCAAGAACGTGTCCGTTCACGCACTGAGTTCAAATTTCAAACGTCAAATTTCCAAAATAGTTTTGGTGTTCATATTTCTTGAGGACGTAACGTTTTTAAATAATTTGTCATATCCTACCGTATCGGGCAGATATAGAAAAGTAGCTGGCTCACGGATAACGGACATGATGTTGATTTAAGGGAAAAAGCCCCTTTTTTGTGCGTCTCCTCTGAGCACAGCATTTGGGTGGGTCGCTTTTTCAAATACATTTTTTACCACCAGCAAAAAGTGGAATCGTATTAGGCTAAAACTGGGTGGTATGGAGTTCCCTAAGTCTACATTTCTAAAGGAAAAACATTTTCTGAAAACCCATCAGGGCACTTTTTTCAGTCCCATTTTCCTGATTTTTTTTTGATCCAAGGAAACAGAAACTGAAAATTTAAACTTCCCTCAGAAGTACCTGTTCAATGTCTGAGTACAGGAAAAATCCTACTTTTGAAATATGTTCCAGTAGCATAGATTATTCTAGGGAAGTGTTTCAAAATATATTCTCCACCCTCACCAAAAGGGACACAAGAAAAGATTTAAATTTAGGCACATGTAGAACCATGGAAGTAATGATTTTTATAAAAAATCAAGACGTTCGTCCCCATATGTCACGTATTTCAATGAGGACGTACTTTAAATACGTGTTTCCCATTTCGCAAAAAATGAAAGAATTAATCACTATGCAAGGTAATGGAGCGGCGAAGGCGCGACCATAGCGAGTTTGTTTGCCTGAAAGGCAAACAAACTAGCTAGTACAAAATATGAATACTACATATGAAGCATGAAATTTTCGATTACAATCTGGAAGAAGCTCAAAAATGCAGAAAAGGATATTGTTCTGATCGCAGCCTTAATTCAGGTCTGAAAGGGTTAATGCAGCATTGCCATAGCAAGGTGATTACTAATTTTTACTACTCCATATTTCCTTATAACGTTACTACAAAATTTTATAGTAAAGCACAACCCTGGAACAACATGTCCCAAGAGGTTGTATATGGAGAAGAATTCTTTTTTTTAAGTCCACATATCAATAGTCATAGATGACAACCCATGGTACCGAAAAGCGCTTAGAAAACATCGACCTTTTCATGGAATGCTACAGGAAGGCATGAAGGCAAGATAAAATACATGGGTCTTGGAATATAATGCCTGGGTGGATGCCAAGTGGAACTCAAGCCCGTTCGTTAGATACGACGTCAAAAATGTAAAAATGATAAGTTTCGCTGATTCAGAAAATGAAATTGGAAAATTCTGAAATAATAGTCGGACTTTTTTCCATGTGAGTACACAGTACATAACATCCACATAAGCCAGAAATCATATTTATAAATATGTGTATTTACTGCATTCAGAAGGTATAACCAATTGAAAGTTGAGAAAAACAGCGACCAGGGAAGTTGTCCTTTTAAGAGCCCTCCACTTAAATTTTTTTCTCTCTAAAACTATTGCAAATAGAACGGTAAATAAGCTAGCACATTCTTCACTAGAATGGGAGAATCACATATTTCTTGTAAAAAATCTATGACTATTACATGCCCGGTCACGCCAGATTTGAAATGGAATCACTCACACCAGTTCATATCGAAAACGGTTCGGCTTTAAAATGAATTATTTGGAGAAAAGCATTAAGTAAACTTATTTGAGAAATCGAAACCCATTTCTTGACACTCCCTGTCTGATGTGAAATGCTACCCCAAGTTCAATTTCATATCACACTTATTCAAAGGTTTCCTACCTGTGATATTCCCCCCCAAATTCGGGGAAAAAAATGACGTTTTTAATCACGACTCTGTAGTCTTGCGCTTCTTCCAACAATGCTTTTCGGTCACCCCTATGTGCATAAAAACACCGTGAGTTGCCTTTCAGGAGCGCTGTCATGACAGATGATGAAGAGGCAAAAGCATACAGGGGCTTGGTGTAGTTCTCCAGGGGGCACCATGCATTGATCTCACAGGTGTAGTCCCTTGTTGAATTGTTGAGGGTGCATTTACCGGTCATCGTCCCATGCTTCAGGGGTTCTCCCACAGGACAAAAGGGAGGAACATTTGGGTCACATGGTGCTCCGAAAACATCGTTGTTCTATGGGAAAGGTTAGGGCTAAGGTTATAATGCAATGTACTTGCCTGAAGTGACGATGAAGGGTTTTTCTGTTATCACTGTGGCTTCGGTAATTTTGTGAAAATTGTGAATTTTATAACCCCCGGTCAATTTCAAGGGCTTGTATACGTGTGGTCTGCCTTTTCCAAAAGCTATTCCATGAGATAAAGCTATTAATTTTGACGTTCTCTCTCATCCAGCGATTGGTCTCGGTCTCCCACATAGCTATCTATCCTAATGATACACTGAAGGAGGAAACAGTCAACAATAGAGAGAGAAGACCTTTGACTTGCCTTCAACTTGCTCAAAATTGAATGAGAAAATTTAAAAAGAAATGCGCATACCCAAATTACGCCTAATATACGTTAATGATTTTGGTATCTCAGAAGGATACCGCACTTCGAACCGTGAAAGGTATGACATTGAAAGACCATCTTTGCATTTAAGAATGAAATAGAATTACGACTTCCTTGGTTAAGCCGGTACATTTCAGGCTCTAACTTTCATTCCTGTTCCCATATGGATTACTTTTCATTACAGTTGTCGGCAATTCAGAAAATGCTGCTATTCAAAGATGTGGATAAGTAACCGATGTCTTGCTGCACAGTCGTTTTTTTTGCATGCCAAACTTATGAATCTTAAAGATTGGCAAAGGAAAAAAGGCAACACAAAACATGCCGCATCATCCATTCGTACACTGGTAACAAGACCTGAGGAACTTCAAGCAACAATAACCTCTGGACAGTGTCCTATTGTCTGATTCGGAGTGATGATGACATTCGTCATGACAAAAAAGGCGTTGTTTTCGTGCTCGAGGAATACCTCGTCCGCCACATCCCAGATACGACGATAGAGGTGCTTGTATTCTTGCTTAACCTGTAATACGAAAGTAATTCAAAATAAAAGAGGAATCAAAAGTTTTGGGTGAGAAGGAAGATACAATAAGAGCCACAAACTTTGAGCTCGTCGTCAGAGAAATTGGTGAATGCCACACCATCCAACTGTGTTATGACCGAACTCAGTGCTGTGCTGGTTTTCTGGTAAGACTTCTCCCAAACCATAAAACCTCTGTCGAATAAATAGACGTGGAGACATTTGAAACTATTAATAGGCTAATTAGACCAAAAAGAATGCTTTCATTGAAGCAAGAGATTTAGGATAGATGAGGAGGGGATTGGGAAGTCACTCAATCTGGTAATGAATACTTTTGAAGATATATAGCAAACATCCTGTACGCGCCTTCAGCTCTCCATAATGCAGGATGGTAATTTAACGATTCGTTCATTTTCGAAGTTGGGAAAACTTACCGAGATTTTTGTGAAAATTATTATTCCAATGATTCCATGTGTGCCTTACATTGAATATATATTATACTAGCGAGTTTTCTCACTATATTTTAAGCAAACTACCTATGGTCACGCCTTCGGTGCTCCATTACCTTAGATAGTGATTAATTCATCTATTATTTGCGAAATGGCAGTCACGTATTTAAAGTACGTCCCCATTGAAATACGTGACATATGGGGACGAAAGTCTTGATTTTTTATCAAATTCATTGCTTCTATGATTTCTAGTGTGCCACACTTGAAATCTTTTCATGTGTCCCTTTTTGTAACGGTGGAGAATGCAATTGGAAATACTTCCCTCGTATAATCTATGCTAAAGGGACATATTTCAAATGTAGGACTTTTCTTGTACTTTGCCATCAAATAGGTACTGCTGAGGGTAGTTTCAATTTTCTGTCTCTGTTTCGTTGGATCAAAAATAATCAGGCAAATGAGACTTTTAAAAAGTGCCCTGATGGGTTTTAAGGAATTGTTCTCCCTTTTAAAATGCGGACTCAGGGATCGCCATGCCACCCAGTTTCAGCCTTATACATTTCCCATTTTTGCTGGCGGTACAAAATGTATTTGGAAAAGCGGCCCACCTAAAAGCTGTGCTCTGAGGAAATGCATAACAAAATATTAATTTTTCTTTAAATCTACATCACGTTCGTTATGGGTGCTACAGCAGCTACTTTTCTTATTCTGCCCCAATTGCAAGGATATGAAAAATTCTTTCAAAACGTAACGTCCCCAAGAAATATGCCTCCCAAAAAATTTTTGGAAATTTGACTCTTTTCCTTAGCTCAGTGCGACAGCAGTCATGTTCTTGTCAAGTTTCAGTTTTCCATATGTCTCTGTTTGATTGAAGCAAAGAGAACTATTTGAAAACACGTTCCCCGAAAAGGTGTTCTCCTACGGAATGTATCACCAAAGGAGAATTTTTTCTGAACTCAGCATGCGAAGAGCTACTTATATCAGTCAGCTACTCACAATCGTCTATATATAATAAAAGTATAATATTTTCTTTACTCAGCTATCCATCATGTTCTCCTTTGGCAAGTTTAAACTTTCTAGCTCCCTCTTTTTCGATGAATCGAGAAAATACGCCTTTTGCAATATGTGTGCCCTCAGGCGTTTTAACAGAAAAGTCCTTTTTCTTCACCGAAATCAGTCCTCAGTGAACTACATGCAAAAAAAAGTTTCAACCTCATACGTTTGCCCTTTTAGCTGATGAAAAAGCATGTTTGAAAAGCACCCACCCAAGAGCTATGCCAGAAGGGGGATGCACCATGAGAGCTGAATACTCCTTCAACTCAATAATAATAATGTAATGTCACATATAGGTGTGCCATGTTTCAAGTTCCATTTTTGTCCATTTCATCACGACAAAATTTTTTTTCAACATGCTGAGGACTAGGCTTTTTCGCCATTGCAGTACCCAAGGGCCTGAGTTTTTTTTAAATGCAAATTTGATGTATGAGCAATATTATTGAATTCATGCATAAAAGGCATTGGCGCCCTCCACATGCGAAAAATTACGCACACCAATGCGGAAAGGAAAATCTCATATAAGGCACGTAGTCCCCGCGCGCAAGACTACTTTCGGGCCTCATATGAGGTACGTCGCCCTCAACAGGTTAAACATCTCCCCCCGAAAAAATTCCCCAGAGGATGTATCGAAACTTAAAACTTTTGTTTACTCATTGTCTCAGCAGTCACATCCATGCCATGTTTCAGTTTTTTATGTTCATCAGTTTAACTGATGCAAAAAAATTATTGAAAACATCTCCCTTTGAATTTTATGCCCCTGGGGCATTTACTCCCAAAGGCTGAATTTTTCTGCACTCAGCATTCCAATAGGTAGTTATGCACCAAGTTCCATCTTTCCACACCAGCTCAATTGGTGCGACCAAAAAAAAAGTACTTGAAAACGTCGGCGCCCAAAAATATGCCCCCATAGGGCATGGATCTTAAAAGTTTCATTTTTCCTGAACTCATTGTCTGGGTAGGCATGTCCATGCGAAGTTTCTGCTTTCTTTATCTCTCTGTTTTACTAAAGCAAAAAGATTGTTACTGAGGGGGAAAGAGTAATGTGCCCTGAAAGGTATAACAGGCCGAAAGAACGCCAAGGAAGGCCAGGTATTAAACACGGGCCCCCTGATTGTCTGTCAGGTGTGCTACCGCTACACCACTGAACCCGAGACATCCTGTCACGCCTCTCGATGCCATCCTAATCCGTCACAACATATATATCTGTAAAAACTTTTTCCCCAAAAATGTGCCCCCCCAGGGTATATACCTTCAAAGTCGGATTTTTTCTGAACTCTGCATCCCAGTAGGTACATGTGTACCAAGTTTGAGGTGTATAACTTCTCTAGAACATGGTTAGAATTAGCGTCAGTGAGTCAGTCACGATCATTTATATATATTAGATAAAAGAACATGCTTAGAATTAACCGTAGTCACTGTGCCTCTGACGATTATTTGCACGAATAATGAAATGAAATGAAAAATGAACAATGTTCTTTCTAACGGCATTTAGAACGTTAATGGGATTTTTTTAGGTGATAGGTGTTACTTTTAAATAAAAGTTTTCGCAATAGTCAACTGTTATTGGCTGCATGAAATCTTTTTTCACACATTTAGGTCCGCGGTTATGTTCTTCTTCATCTATATAGTAGCTTCGTTTCCACATTGATATCAACTATTTCTGGGAGCAATGGATGAAAAATCTTTTCCATCGCAATACTTAATAATTTGACGAATTAAAACCAATTTTTTTATTGTCGATTCCTGCATCAGGATGAGAATACCGCGCGTTCTTCAAGTTGAAAACTTTCTCCTCATACCTTTGTATTTTATGTTATCCAAGTTTTGCACAGGTAGGGATTGCAGTAGCGGGGAAGAAATCACATAATAAAATTTAAATTAATCCAGAATATGACTGACTGAGAGTCACTCTAATTCTATGTTCTAGGTAAGGTTATACTACTCCTTGTATACGGCTATTTCTGTACCAGAAACCTGGTACACAAGTAGCCATTGGGCTGCAGCATTCGGAAAAATCAGACTTTGGAGGTATATTCCATGGGGCATACATTTTGGAGGGAGATGTTTCCAAATAAATATTTGGAATATGGAATATGGAATAAATCGTTTTGTTTCAGTCAAACGTAGAGGCATGGAAAGCAGAAACTTGCCATGAACATATTTATACACTGAATTCACGAAAATATAACGGTTTAATATACATTCCCAGGTACATACTTTTTTTGGGTGACGTTTTCAAAGATTTTCTTTTCGTCCTAAAGAATTGGGCAGAAATAGAAAGTTGAAACTTGGTAAACACATAACTAACGTGAAAAAGTTCAAGAAAAATTCATATTTGTTGCCTCTCCTCAGTTCATAGCTTTTGTGCGAGTCGAATTTACCAAGTATATTTTTGCACCAACGAAAAGTGCAACCAGATAAGGTTGGAACATCCCAAGTAACACAGTATTTTGAAACGTTTTCGAAATGTTGCCTCTGCTCCTCTATGCAGCAAGTTGATGTACAACATTGATAAAACATTGCTTCAGCGATTTCACTTGAGATTTTGGAACATTTCAAGGAATATTAAGCTGTTTTTCGAACATTTTTCCATGAAATTGTGAGAATGTTGAAACTCTTGACATTGACAACGTTGACAAAATATTCTGATACAACATGGACAGTTTTTGGGAATCAAAGTTGTCCTCCTTGCCACGAGATGGAGGCGTAGGTGTCGCTTTTCGAACAATACACAAAAGTCTCCTCTCATTTCTTGGAATCGTCCTTCACAGGAATGTTTAGTACCTTGCCATATCAAATTGTCTCATTATATGAATCAATGAACAAGGGCACTTAGTCACTTGTTATCCTCATGTTCGAGGCAGATTCATTGGGCCAAATTGAAAAAAATAAAATATTCTTGCAATGAACTAAAGGACTCATTCAGTACCTGGTGTTGCACATAGATAGCCCCCAAGCCATAACTATAGAATCTAGGATAAAAAATTTATTTATATTTGGAGTACTTGTTCAATTTTAAATCTATTTCATATAATTATTTTCTTGATGTCATATGATGGGGAAAAACCTGATTTCAATGAATTGATTCTATGCTATTACGTTTCGAGCTCATGATGGAGGAGCTGAATTCGTTACCCGTTCATGGGTTTTGAAAAAGATTGAACGTTCAGCTTCTATCTGATGAAGCCTTATTTTTCAAAGCATAGACCTAACGGCAATTGCTGAAAGGCTCAGGTATTCCATTTTTTTGGAAATGGGGAAGGGCCGGGAAACTCTCCTGCTTTGTGACTGAGAACATGGGATTATCCTGAAAGACCGAGTCCAGGCTCATGCAAATGGAAGGCAAGCAGCATAGATTATCCCGGGAAGCCTTGCAAAGCGATCTCACCAGTGTGTTGAGGGACGCGGAAGATGACATAGAACTCTTGAAGCGCCTCTTTTCATCTTACCCAGCTCGTGTTAAAGCTTTTAGAGACATAGCCAGGGTGCATACAAATTATGAGAAATACATGCTTAGATTCGAAAATAAATGCTCTTTCCCATGAGTACAAGCTTATTTTCCTAGTTGTTATAATTAAGGCTCTAAGGGGGTCTATCCATGTGGAACGCTAGTACATTCTGTAGAAGGTACATTCTACAGAACATTAAAAACGATGGTATTGCTCCTGCGAATTAGGTGAGGAAAATATGAAC